TAATTGTGACTATCACAATTGTAAAGGTAGAAGTTTTGTGACAAAAGCAGGGGATCACATTAGAGGGTCCCTGATAGAGTGGGAGAAAATGTGGAATAAAACTCAAAAACAGTTTTTTAAAATTATCAGCTTACTGGTCAGGAAGATATGTAAGAACCCCTGAGAATGGTCTTCTATTACTAGTGAAGTTTGGAAAGGAACTCACACTTTGGGCCCAATTTTCTGCCAAGCAATAAACAGGTGTATGGGGGAACATCAACACTAATAAGGTATGCTCACCATGGAATGGTCAATCTTTCATAATCAAAAGGGCAACATTTACCTAAGGACAAAGATGAGAAGGAATGGAAAGGAGGGTGGAATGCAAATAGGAACCACACAGATGAAGTAGATTAACTGCTGATGAAAAGCTGATGATCTTCTCTGTAAACCTTCACTCAAGTCACACAAAAAAATGTCTAAAAAGATACTGGTACTTTTCCACAAACTTTTTGAAGTCCCCTCATTTGTGTGTGTATAGTTTCCATAAGAAAAAAAGAGAGAGAGAGAGAGATGCCTGTGGAGTTCCAAAAAACAGTTGCCATAACTTTTGGAGCTGACCTTTCTGCCTTGAATTCAGTTGACCCAGCATGATCCCTTGGAATCCATTTTTGTGATTGGCCTTGTCTTTGAAGGCACCCTAACTAAGACACCTGTCTTACTGAGAGGACTTTGGTTGTTGCTATCCACTGATTGCAGAGACATTATTAAACATGTTTTATCTGGAATACACCTGTGCATGTATCGGGAACCATAGTAGCTATATATATTTTTGTTTGTTTGTTTGTTTTTACAACGTCCTGCAGTGTCTATGTGAGGGTGTGTGTTTATTGTTGTTTTTATTTTCTGGTTTTTGTTAATTTTTATTATTATTATTTTAACATGCCAATACTAAAGGCTGGAGAGAAAGCCAAACACTTGTTTGATAAACAAGTGTTAAAACATCATGACATATTTTATTATAGTTTGTTTTACTCATGGGTCTGTGTTTGTGACGGACTGATATTTCTGAAGTAAGGCACTTATATTTATTACACTTCACAGCCCTGAGTCAATGCAGTATTCCATGTTGAGTTGTTCACAAATATGCAAGGAATTCAATGGAACTGAAGCTGATGTTCTGCATTTAGAAACTAAATCTGATTCTAATAAATTGTTAGGTCCTGTTCATGGAAGTCTGCATATGAAATCCAGGACCATGTCTGGTCTGAATGGACCAAAGCTATGTGAATGATATGCCCACTTTTAGACTTTGCACCAGAAAACCTTGTCACCATATAGTAGGCACATAGTGAATATTGACTGGATTGCTTTGTTTGTGATGAAGGTAAAGGAGTAGAAACTGTTTTCACCATGCTGATTTCATGTACTAAGAAATTTTTCATAGAATGAAGAATCGATAAAGCTGCTCTGAGTAGACAAAAATAGAAAAAACACATTTCTTCCATTCAAATTACAGTAAAACAGGAAGCTTTGTTATCTGAGCTGTACACTTTCTATCAACTTAAACACTCACACCTACACACACACGTTTTGTTTGGGGGAAAAAAAATCTGTAATCTCTTTTTATTCAAGTTTTAAACAACAGGTTTTTAAATTAGCAGTAGTAGTATTCATTGTCCCTCAAAACAGAAATGTCAAAAGTCAAGCTGTACTTACAGTAGCCAGGTGGCTGTCCTAGAGTCATGTGGTGTTGTGGCTCCGCAACAATCCCCATAGCAAGCTGAGATTTCTTTTTGGAATCTTGCAAAAGCATCAAAAATACCTTTTAGCAAGAAAAAAGAGCTAAGTATTAGTTTGTTCCTGTGCACATCATATTTCTTTCCTTACGCCTTCCTACGCAGCTAGACCATTATGACATTATGATGACATTATGATGACCCCAAACACAATGCACTTCACTTAGTCATTCATCTCATTGGCAGAGTTCCAAGAGGTCCAGGTTCTTCACAAACTGGGTGTTAGACAGCTCATAGGCTATGAAATTGACCACTCTTGGTCATGGTCCCAGAACATTTACCTTCTGACAGGACAGTCCCACTCACAACCAGGAGTAGGCAGGAGGAGTTCAGGCATCATAGAAATTCAATGTTAGTAAACTTGTAGTACACACAGTTCATTAGGGTAGTTGGGATTTCTTATGTGAAAATTCCCACTGAGCAAGTACTCTTCTTCCTGCCATAATACCATAAAAAGCAGTTCATTGATATAATTTTCTTGAAGTCACCATTTAATGAGTACTAGAAGAAAAAGTTCAACATCAATTTTGTAAATTCCACATTCTACAAGAAGGAAGTGAAAAGCAGGAGCCAACAAAGACAAAATGAAAAGACGAGGACTGGTAGGACCCTCAGGTGCATCTGGAACTTTGGTGGGCGTTCTCATGAGTAATAAGAACATTGGGCAAAGAGCAAAAGAGACGGGTAATTTGGATCATATATAAAAATCAAAACAGCTCAGACTCTGAGGCAGCACAGGACATGGTTAGGGTCTAGGCACTGGAGATGGACATGTTTGTAGCATAGCTGCACAGCATGCAAACTGAACAGGTGTGGGAAGGAAAATGGTGTGGCACTGAGGGTTAATGTGCCAGACTGCAAATCTGTTTGAACTGCAAGGTCGGTGGTTCAAGCACACCAACTGTTCCTCAGAAACCCTAAAGAGTGTCGCTGTGTGTCAGAACCGACTCGACGGCACTTAACAACAACAACAACAACAACATATATATGTTGTTAAGTGTGTTTGTTAAGTGTGTGTGTTTCACAGACTATATTTCTCCATATATAAGTGTTCTTGAGGAATCCCCAGTGACTCGGGAAAGCAGAGAGAGGGAATCTGAGAGAACAGGCAAGGAGCATGCTAGCCTGAAGGGAGAGGCACATAATTACACCCTTCCTCTCTGCATGTAGTTAATTAGTTGGGATGGAATCCTACTGGGGGAAATTTGCACCTTGAGCACAGTGAAGGGTCACAATGTTTTCAGTCCAGAACAAATGTGATAACCTTTATCTGAAGTCTTGATTCTCAGCAAAACTCCAAGTAAGAACTGCAAACCTCACTACTACTACAACAAGAATTGATAAAGTTTCTGAGTATATGCTAGTGATATGGACTCCTGGTGTGTTGCTGGAGGAAAATCACCGGACTCTTTATCACAAGGTCTGTAGTTCAGGCTGCTTCTTGGAAGCCTATCCAGGGTTGCTATGATTCAGATCCAACTCAAGTGCATTTAACAACAATATGTGATCTTGGACAAACTAGTTTACCTTTCTGTGACTTAGTTTTCTCATGTGTCAAATGGCAATAAAAGTTAGACACAAGGGATTGCTAAAAGCATTAAATGTAGCAAATGATGAGGACAGTACCTGCTACTTATTAAATTCAGAGGCAGATTGAAAAATGCAGCGAATTGCATGTAATATGTTACAACATTTAATACTCAAAACACTCGAATGAAATTAGCATTAATATCCCCACTTAGGATAAGGGCAACAAGGCCTAGAGTGAGAAGCATTGTCCTGGTGCATTTATAAAAAGCAAAATGAGAAACAATAGCAATTGTATGAGTCAGCAATTGTTGAATAAAGCTTTCTCTTTGCATCTAATCTAAATGAAATTTTTATTTAAAATGTAATTGTGAACTATGAAAACCATACCTTGATAGTAACAGCGCACTCTTGATAACAATCTTCATTGCATCTCCTTTTAAATTTTTCTTCTCTTCTTCCTTTCACAGCAAGGCTATATATGTGTATGCATGTGTTTGTGATGCAAGGAAACTAATGGCAGAGTTTTTGCCCATGGAATCTCATAGATCAGTAGAGGATTCAATCAATTATAATATACACTAATAACCAGGGTCCAGCATGTCTGAGAATTCTTCAACTTTACACAGAAAAAGCAAAAAGCAAGTCTAAGGCAATAAAAATGTTTATAGGTGCCATCTAACTTCATCTAACTCTAACTTCACACAGTCCTAGTGTGGTTGTGTAGGATAAGCACTTGACTGCTAACAACAAGGTCAGTAGTTCTAATCTACCAGCCACTCCTAGGAAACCCATACAGGGTCTCTATGAGTGAACAACTGATAGGTTTGAACCATTGACCTTGTGGTTAGCAGTCTAGTGCTTATCCTATAGTACCACACTAAGACTCTAGGACAATGATTATTGCTGTTTTATAGTGAAATGGAGTTCGGTCTGACTTACAGAAATCCTGTATAGAGTTCTGAGGTGTGGCTGGTGTGACCTTATGGTTACCAATCTAGTCCAGGGCCACACCAGAACTCCATGTCAGTGATAGCGTTAGTTAAAAGAATGGGTTATTGGTGAACAATATCACCCTTTTTCTTCTGAGATGTGAGCCCTGTGCTCAGTGAAAGTAGTAAGAAAGCAGTTCCAAAGGTCCCCCATCAAGTTTCCCACATAACTAAATCATCCAAAATAGGATATTACCAGCAGGCGGTGCAATACGACAAAGTGAGGGGAGTTCCCACTGATTTCCCCAGCAACTAATCCATTGAACAGTGAATAAAAGCAAGCACAGACTGAGATCATAGAGTGCCAGATAGTAGCTGAAGTGCTAGGAAGTTGAAGTGAGTCCAGAAGCAGGTGAGAGGAGGGGAAGAGATGGCAGAGAAGCTGGGAGAACCTACCTGTTAAACACATTGAATTCTCACTCATCACAGCCATTTGGGGACAGAGCTGGGTAACACCCCAAACAGGAAACACACAAAAAGGAACTAATCTGAAGAGATGTTAACCTGATTTGGGGGAGGGGGAGGGAGGATGGGGCAAATTGGGCATGTTGAGTTCACAAGCCATGAAACTGGGAGGGGACAAAGGGAGACTGAGTGCTCTGAGTACATGGACCAAGAGGCACAGAACATAAGAACACTGAATAGGTTAAAATTAAGAAAGGTGTACAACAGTGTTGTATTCTTTCACCATACTTACTCAATTTGTATGCTGAGCAAATAATCTGAGAATCTGGGTTATATGATGAAAAACATGGCATCAGGATTGGAGGAAGACTAATTAACCACCTGTGATATGCATATGATACAACCTTGCTTGCTGAAACTGAAGAGGACTTAAAATATTTACTGATGAAGATCAAAGACCACAGCCTTCAGTATAGATTGTATCTCAATGTAAAGAAAACAAAAATCCTCACCACTGGACCAATAAACAACATCCTCATCAATAGAGAATGGCTGAAGTTGTCAAGGACTTCATTCTTCTTGGATCAACTATCAACACTCACAGAAGCAGCAGTCAAGAAATCAAATGACATGTTGCATTAGGCAAATGTGCTGCACAAGACCTTTTTAAAGTGTTGAAGAGGAAAGGTGTCAGCTTGAAGACTAAGGTGTGCCTGACCCAAGCCATGGTATTTTCAATAACCTCATATGTATGCGTAAGCTGGACAGTGAATAAGGAAGACCATAGAAGAATTGATGTTTTTGAGTTGTGGTGTTGGAGGAGAATGTTGAAAATGTTATTGTCTGCCAAAAGAACAAACAGATCTGTGTTGGAAGAAGTGTAGCCAGAGTGCTCCTTGGAGGCCAAGATGGCCAAACTTTGTCTCTCATACTTTGGACATGTTGTCAGGAAGGACTAGTTGCTGGAGAAGGATATCATGTTTGGCCAGGTGGAGGGTCAGAGAAAAATAGGAAGACCCCCAGCAAGATAGATTGGCGAAGTGGCAGCATTAATGGGCTCAAGCGTGGCAACAATTGTGAGGTTGGCCCAGGACCAGGCAGTTGTACAAAGGGTCGCTATGAGTCGGTACCGACTCGATGGCACCTAACAACAACAATTTGGAGATATGTTCCTGGGTTTATATATATATATGGTCATAACAAGCTGATAGGAAGAAATTGGCCACTTTGCTTTTATGCAATAAATCTAACCTTCCCAGAGTATTACCAAAAAGTTGAAAACAATTTTAAAAACCCCGACTGAAATGCACTGATTTTCCTTACTCGAAAAGATTTTGTCATGCCTGCTGAGATTGCAGCAAATGACTTCAGATGTGCAGCAAAGTTCACTAAGCCCCTTGGTCCCCAACTCCACATAAACAAAATATTATTCCTTGCCAGCATTTTCTTCAACTTCAAACTTTGGAGGAAACAGTATAAAGCAAAAAAAAACTCTTTCCGGTGAAGTCCTTTTGAGTCACAGTGAGTCTATGGATAGAAAAGAACTACAGCAGAGAGTTTCCAACACTATCATCTTTACAGGAGCTGATTTTCACACCTTTATTCAGAGGCATTACTGGCATGTCCAAACCATTGTTCTTTCAGTTTACAAGTGAGCACATCACTACTGTGCCACCAAACCTAAACCAAATCCCTAGCCACTGAATTAATATTAACAGTGACCCTAGATGATAGAGTAGAACTGCCTCATAGTGTTCCAAGGTCATAATCTTCATGGAAACTGCCACACATTTCTTTTGAAGAAGTTTTGGTGGGCTCAATTAGGATCCAAGGGCTTAGCCGCTGAGCTCCTGATTGGTGGTGGTTATATGCTGTAGAATCAGTTCTGACTCATGGTGACCCTGCATATGGTTTCTGAGGCTATAAATCTTTATGAAAACAGAAAACCTCATCTTTCTCCCAAGAAACAGCTGGTAGTTTCGAACTGCTGATGCTGAGGTTAGCAACCTGACTTGTAACCACTATGCTACTGGAGCTCCTTACTGGGGCTATTGTTGTTGTTGTTGTTAAGTGCCATGGAGTCGATTCCAACCCATAGTGAC